TACGCTTCGACTCCACACCAACACCTGGGTCTACAACCCCGAACTCGCCCCATCCCTCGGCTACGCTTCGACTGCACACCAACACCAGGGTCTGCGACCCCGAACTCGCCCTATCCCTTGGCTATGCCTAGACTGCACACCAAACGCCTGGGTCTACGACCCCGCTCGCCCCATCCCTCGGATACGCCTCGACTGCACACCAAAAACACCTGGGTCTGCGACCCTGAACTTGCCCCATCAGGATCCACGAGCTCCCTCTCGCCCGATCCCTAAAACTAATAGCCTCGGCTGCGCGGGCTCTAGGGTCCATGACTCTGACTCGCCCGATCCCACGGCGCGCACCGACGTCAAGATCCGCGAGCTCCGTCTCGCCCGATCCCTAAACTAACTCGCTCGATCCCACGGTGCGCACCGACGCCAGGATCCATGACTCCAACTCGCTCGATCCCACGGCGCGCACCGACGCCTTGGTTGATGACTCTGTCTTGACTAAAAAACATGCACACACGCCCACTGAAAAAAGCCCCAGACGATTCTGCCCGAACCGTCCGGGGGCTCGGGGGCTACACCCGCGGGTGCGTTCGCGCGCACCCGCTGACGAAACAAAAACCTCCCCCGCTGGCAACACAAAAAAAACCCCAGACGATTCTGCCCAAATCGCCCGGGGGATCGGGCGCTACACCCGCAGGTGCGCTCGCGCGCACTCGCCGTTAAGACAAAAATCTCCCAGACGATTCTACCCGAATCGTCCGGAGGCTCGGGGGCTCCTGTCGGGTTCATAAACTTGGCGTCCCTCGTGGACCGGCTTCCCAACAAAGGCTCAGCCCATGCAGACAACGCGCAACTCATGGGCCAGCCCAAGTACCTAAACGACAGGCTAGAGAGGCGATCCAATCTCCAACCGGAAGGCCTGATCGAGGAGGAATGGCACCCGCTTCTGACTCTGGCCCGCCTCTCTGATCGGAGCGCTCGCTTCGGTCTCCAGCCCGCCTCCGAACGGCCTCTCCGACCGGAAGGCCTGGCCAAACATCACTTCCGACTCCAACCCGCATCTCCGACCGGGGATGCGCCAAACCCCTGCTCACTGCTCTTCTCCGACTAGCGCGATCAGAGCCGACTGGGACCAACCGATCGGGGACGCCCACTCGGTAAGGACCAAGAAACAGATGGAGAAAGTAAGGCATGGCGCACAAGTCAAACCACAATACTGGGGACCGTACCCTGTACACCTGCAGAAACAGTACTCTATGACCTTCTTGGCACGACAGAACCCAAGCATTGTTATAGGCGCGGATATTTTCCCCTACAGTATTGTGGGCGCCATTAACTCTCATACGGTAAGGCTCCCCCCACATGCCTCTGGGCATCGACAGTATTGTGGGTGCCGGCATTTACCATACCAGGAGAACATGGTAAAACCCCTTGCATGCCTCCAGGTATCAACAGTGTGGCAGGCGCCGACGACTGCCATACCCGAAGAAGACAACACAACCTCCCATGTGCATCTGATATTCAACAGTATTGTGGGCGCCTACCATCATCCTATACCCGCCGGCATGGACAACAAGGCTCAGTAGCATACGTACTCTCTCCCTCTCACTTGTAAGACCACCCCCTTCATCTATAAAAGGGGATGCGCTCTCTTCCAATAGGTAGATTCCTTCGATCGATCAGTTCACTAGTCCACAACAACATAACCTCTAGGTTTAAACCCCGAGTACACGTTCAAACACTTAGAGCATAGCGCGGCTCCCGTCACTCTCGGCTCCTCTGACCAGAGTCTGACCGGACCTCTTGTACCCCCCAACTTTCTCCTTCTCGTTTGTAACCCCACTGCAAACTTTGAGCACCTGAGCTCAGGAATAAAGTCACCGACCGACTCAAACTGGACGTAGGGCATGTTGCCTGAACCAGTATAAACCATGTGTCATTGAGTGCTAGACCACCTCCGATCACAACATACTGCAAAACTACAAATATTTATGTGTTGGCCACTTTCTGCACCGACAGGTCCCTTGCTACGACAAGCGTGTTGTACTCTCCATCAACATCCATACCAAGCAATTGCTATATTCCATCACTACGATTCGCCCATGTGGGTTTGGATATCTCGTAGGAATATATACATTCACCGTTCTTTATACGCAGCTATGCGTAATTGCATATATGGCCTGAAAAAAAATCTAGGATTTGGTGTTCTTTTTTCAAAACATGTTGCAGACAACAGCACTCAAATACATGCATATCTACTCATCCCTATTAATACCTGCAAGAGCATGATTCAATAAGTCTTGATGTTAACAAAGTCATCATATGCGCCTTGTTGTGTACGTGCACGTCACCTACTACAATTGAAACAATATATCTAGCTAAAATGCGAGCATCGAATCAGGAACAAACCTAGGTGAGCAAGTTCCGTCACAAGGGATCTAACTAGCCGTGTATGTCCGCCACTGAGTATGTTGACTAAGCATTTGATATAGTTTTCTAGTGTTGAGTTGTATTCACCCACCCACTCAACCTAGAATCTTAAATGATAGGAAAAGACGAACAATTCATTTATACTTCAATACTCCCCTCACGAGCATGAGCCCTAGCTCAGGCCTTATGAGTGAAAATAGGATTCACCTTATGATAAGTTTAGGAAAAAATCTAAATAACCCCTAATGTTAAATATGATCTTATGCTTGGGGCCAAAAGCCTTTCTGAATGCAGAAATTTGACATGATTTTCGCAGAAATGTCACATGGCACCCTATAAATTGTGAAAATCCTGAATCGTCCTAGGAATTTCACATTAGGGGCAGAGAAAATCGAGAGGAGTCAGTCCGGCATTTCGAAACGGCCGTGTGCGAGCCGTCACGTGGAGGCATTCGTGCTGTGATTGATTGGGTCCCTTCTTACTACGGTATGCGTGTTGTACTCTCCGTAACATCCATGCCAAACCATATTCCATCTCTGTGGATTCGCTCATGTGAATTTGAATATTTTTTTAATAAGATGGCAAAAGCTTTGCCATGATTTAATTAGAGGAAAAAAGCAATTTGGATATCTCGCGGGATGTATGCATTCACCGTTCTTTATACGCAACTTCAATTGCATGCGTAAGAGAATATATGGCCTGAAAAAAAATCTAGGAATTGGTGTTCTTTTTTTCTCGAAACATGTTGGAGACACCAGCACTCAAATACATGCATATATACTCATATCTATTAATACCTGTAAGAGCATGATCCAATAGGTCTTGATATTAACAAAGTCATCATATGTGTCTTGTAAAATGCGAGCACTGAAATTGAAGGGAAAGGAAAGTTTCCTTTAGAATTTCTATGAGCAAGTCCTATAAACCAAGGGCTGCTACATGACTTCAATCCGTAGGAATTTGAATCCTTTTTTTTCCTCCATTCCAAAGAAGGCCTTTTTTGCGTGCTAGTTTGAACAGATGAAATAAACTAAGGAGATGTTTGAAATCTTTGCAAACACTGTGTTACATCGTGTTAGTTGGAACGAGCAAGGCATAGGATTCTTAGCTACCTTACCTCGTATCATGTGTTGGGAAGTTTTTTTTTTTTGTTGAGGCAAGCTAGCCAAATTGGCTCGCCTCAACTAGCAAGGTTTGGTTTACCCAGCCATGCTAGGCAAGGCTAGCTTGTTGGGAAACCAAGCGGCTCCTAAGGACGTGTTTGGTTGGGTGTTTCCGCCCAGACTGTATCTATGCATGTGTATATTCTGCTGAAGAAATGTGTTTGGTTGGTGTCGACGAATTATGGCCGGCAGTCTACCGAGGGGCATGCCCACGGTAGTAGATGAATCGGTAGAGGTGCACGTGATACGAACTAGATGGTGACACAGGCGCAAAGACAGCGATTTAGATAGATTCAGGCCGTCAAGTCGACATAATACCATACGTCCTGTGTCTTTGGTGAATTGTATATTATGATGAGGTGAAACCCTAGACTAAGCCCAGGATCTTAATGGTCATACCGACTAGGGGACCCCTGTCCCTCCTTATATACTTTAGAGGGGTAGGGTTACAAGAAAAATATCCTAGTCGGTTATATGGTAGGATTATAATATCTCTAAGAGTCCTAGTAAATCAAATTTTCTAGATGCCTTGTGGTGTACGCCGAGCAGTGCCGTGCACCGCAAGTCTTGATGTCGTGGGCTAGACTATCCCTGACCGTGCGGCCCATGTCCCTTACTGTGGGTACCTGGGGTTATACCCCCCACAGTTGGCAAGTTCTCCTGTAGAGACCTGCATCCGCGCATGCAAATATACGCTTGGATCCAGGCTGGGCGGATGCGGTGGATTTGAGCTTCACTACCCGGCCAGGCTCGGCAGATGCAGCAAATGGTTGTGGGGTCCATGCGCCATTCTCACATAGTAGCAGATAGATCGCATCCGTTTATACGCAACCAAACAACATCTTAGTTTTTCTGCATCCGCTCATGTAACTTCACTAAACACCTTTTCTAAGATATGGTTCCACTCAACCTGCATCCCCTCAACTAGGATATACAATGCAAGCTCCATCCACCAACCAAACACACCATAACTTGCCCTAGCATTCTTCCCCTTGGACTCACGATTATATTTGCTTATCAATTTATTATATGACAAAAGTATATGCATAAATCCGGAGCCTTGTGGGTGTTGCTGGCCAGTGTTACATGATGCAGAGTATGGGCGCCAATCATCCTTGTTTGGAAAAAAGAAGTAAAGTACCTTAGAGCAAAAGGTCAACCTACAAAATAATCTTAGGTGACCCTAAAGAATGACAACCAATCAAAGGTCAACCTACTAAAGTTGGAACCCTCCCCGGCCTACTCCTACCTAGCTGCGCAACGTGCACCATAATGTATGTAATGTAACTCTCCCATGCACATAAATGTGGAGCACCTGCTCTCCTCTCTTCTCTCTACTAGAGCTTTAGATCCACCACAAACGCACCTCAAGAAGTCAAGATCCACAGATCGAACACAGAGTCCAAGAACTCAGACATGGAGGAGGAGGGGGAGGGCAAGAGCGCCAAGGCTGCGGAATGCAAGAAGAATGTGACGAGGCTCCACAGGTCATTCCTCCACCTGTCCAGAGCGCTCGGCAAGCTCCACAGCCGCCGGGGACACGCAAAGGCGAACGACGAGACGTCGCTGTCGTCGTCGTCCTCTGCTGCCACTTCGTTCCTCTCCGGGTGCATGCATCCCCGGACCCACTCCTTCGCCTCCGGCCGCCGTCACCGCCACAAGCACGACGACGACGGCAGCGGGGACGCCCTCGCCGTCAACTTCAGGTCCCTCCGGGTCGGCCTCGCCGCCTCGGCTGCCGCTGTCGACGGCGACGAGGGCGGCTCGTCGTCGGCGCAGGACTGTTACGGCGACCGCGGGAGCGAGGCGGCAGACGAGCCCAAGGCGGTGGTCCGTGGCGCCGGCGTGGCGGTGGCGACGCTCTCCGCGGCGCCGTACGAGGACTTCCGGCGGTCCATGCGGGAGATGGTGGACGCCGGCGCGGGGAGCGAGAGGGGGAGGAGCGGCGCCGCGGCGGCGTTGGACTGGGACTTCATGGACGAGCTGCTCTTCTGCTATCTCCGCCTCAACGACCGCGCCGTGCACAAGGACATCCTACGCGCGTTCACCGACACGGTCACCGCGATGCGGTGTCGCCGGCGGAGGGCGGCGAAGAGCAGGCGGACGCGTCGGCGGCGGCGGAGGCAGCCAGGGGCGGGAGGAGACGGCCGCGGCGACTGTGACGGCGCGGAGGCGGTGACCTCGATCTCGTCGTGACTGGCAAATGTGTATGTGTGCATAACCGGCGAGGAGCCCGCGTCGCCGTCCGGCCGGCCGGTCAGTCGGCGACTGCACGAGTTAATGCTGTGTTAATACGCGTGCGCGCTTTAGCTGAAAATCTGAAATAACGTAACGTGCATGTTAATGGCTCTGCTGTCATACGACAACCTTCCGTAGTAGTGTTATCAGACCCTTTCTTCTCCGTCCACAGCCACCTTATTACTCCATTTTCATCACCATATGGTGCCCCACTTTGATCAATTTTTTTGGCTCATATTATACAAAATTTGATTTGGTAACTTCTCTAATATCAAGCCACCTTACTTTATTTTCATAGCTAAAGTGTAAGGTCCTGTTTGGCTTCGGTCTATAGTTTAGTTGTGAACTTCAGATCAGCTTTTATGGTCTAAAATGAACTGAAGAGTTTTTTTTATGTTGACTAAACTTTAGATTCAACCATAGACAACCTTTTTAGAGCATCAAGAGTTAAATAAAGTGGTGTAAAGTGTAGGGCCTGTTCAGCTGATATTAAAGTCGGCTGATAAACCGACTTTGGCTGATTAGTCGTTAAACTTTAGACCATGGGATCCAGACATGTCTTAAACTCGTCGGCCTGCATCGTTATCATCGGTTTGTTTGTTTTTTAATTTTTTTACTATTAAGACAATAGTGTTTTATATTTATAATATATAGGTCCAAATAAAGGATTTATCCTCCCATTACCGTTGTTCCGATTTATAGGTTGTTTTGTCTTTTCTAAATATATAACTCCTATTATGTATCTAGACATATCGTATATCTTGGTGGGCTATGTACCTAGACTAGAAAAGCTAAAACGATCTGTAATTTAAAACAGATGGAGAGGGTGATATTTCTCAACTATGTAACGGTCACCTCCCTAAGAAGAGCACGCGATCTCTATTTTGTGTATGCAATTCATCAATGGCCCGGAGTACATTTATATGTCCCATGCGTGATTCGCTGCTTCTCTTTTATTTCTTCGTTACCGCACCGTCGTAGCATGATGTACAACGTTTTCAACTTTTTGGTGGTTGTTGCACATTTGTTATTTTTTCGCGCACTTTGTCAGCCATTTGATTTGCACCCATCTGTACATAGTACTAGTACCTCCTCAAGACGCGAGATATGATATGACTTTGTCGAGCCAGATGGGACAGTGGTCACTGAGGCCGGATTTTTTACTTTTTAGTTATTTTTTTAAAAGTTTTTCATAAATACGTTCCCATAGGAAAGGTTTTAGAATCTAAACCCTTACCTTGACGCCATCGATGCTGGCGCCGAGCTAACACGTCTCGGCGTCAGTGTCCTTGACGCCGAGCTCTTGGGCTCGAGACCGACGTTGAGGTGACATGGCAGGGAGCTCGGCGCCAGTCACCCTGGCGCCGAGCCTTTATTACGTATGGACCCCGCCCCCCTCTTCTTCTCTTCCTCTCCCTCTCCCTCCCTATAGAGCAAAGCAGAACAGAGCACCGCTGCCGCCGCCCGCGCACGCGCCTCCACCGGCCGCCCTCGCCCGCACGCGCCTCGCCGCGCCCGTGCACGGACGCCCGCGCCGCGCTGCCATTGTGCCTGCGCCGGCCGCCCACGCCCCGAGGCCGCGCAGGAGCGCCATGCCCCGCGCCCCGCCCCGCTGCCCCGCGCCCTCGCCCTCACCTCGCCCGACGTTCCGCCCGCGGCCGCCTTGGCCGCGCCCCGTCGCACCAGTGCCGTGATCGTGCCACCTTGGCTGCGCCCGCCGAGCCGGACTCACCTCGTAGAGCGCCGGGCATCCCGCGCCCACCGCCCGGCACCGCCGTCGTCGGCCGCGCCACCGCCGGCCCAGGTCATCGGCCTGACCTACGCCCGGCGTCCGCTGCAACTCCGTCGACGTCCGCGGATCAATTGTTGGAAAGGTAAAAATTGTGAATATGCAATGTACCTACTTATTTGGCATTTGTTATTTACTAGTTAATGTGATGACTCAGGTAGTTGATTTAGTTAGTGATCTAGTGAGATATATATGTATATAGATAGAAATATAGATACATAGGTACATAGATATAGTTAGATAGCTACTTAGATAGGTAGTTACATATTTAGTTAACTAAATCGGATATAGCTATTTAGTTAGTACACTGTGTCTATGTATATAGTTGTTATCTTATTTACTTAGTTTGTAGTTAGAAAGTACTTGTTAAGTAGTATGTATCGTCTAATTTGGACTAAAGGACATGTATTTCGTTATGTGTTTGAACTAGATGGACAACCTAGTGACCATATATCATGGAGGCACCGTTGAATATGATCGCTATAGATATGTTGAGTTTGTTGACATGCAAAGCATGCATGTGCTATTCAATGATAGGCCTACATTTAGTGAGATGGTTGCAAGGGCTTGGGAGGAGCTGCATTGCCTTGAAGATGATGGCATTGCAGTTGATGGTGTACTGCACCTAGGTTCTTCTCCCAACATCCTCAGGCGAATGATCCCAATTGGTTGTGCAGATCAGTGGGAGAACTATGTGAGATCGGCTATGAAGAGCCAGCTGCAATGTTTGGACATGGTTGTGCGTCGGGTGTTAGTTGATCCCATCCCTCATAGGTTTTCCCCACCAATGGGTTAGCAGGCACACATCGACCGCCTCGTCCCGGAACCTGATATGGATGTGGAGGTTGCACCTACGGTTCCCGATGCTCAATCTACCCCCAATGCGGTAGATGGAGATGCTTGTCAGACTCATGTTGTTGTGGTAGATCCTCCTCATGAGATTCCTTTGACACAGAATCATCCGAGTAAGTGTCTCAACCACATGGTTTTTTGGAGCTTACCCCCTTCCTTACATCCATTTCTTTCATTCTTTCCTCATTTCTCTACCTATGTTGCAGGAGACATTCCTGAGAATGTGGATGTGCCCCCTGTTGCTACGCAAGTGCACTTTGGAGATGGATTCCGTGGCTCCAATAGTGTTGAAATTATGCATGATTCGGAGCCATATGAGATGGCAAGGGCTCTTGATTCTGATGATGATCGCCCTATTGGAGAGCTGACAGAGAGTGATGTTGAGATGCTGAGGCGTATCTTTCCTGGCCGCCGTGATCCAAGAGTTCATGAGTTCAGCAATCTTGCTCATTCGGATCAGGCGTGTGCAGAAGGACGTGATGATGAGCTCCTAGAAGCTCCTGAGGCCAGCCCTAACATGGTAATTGAGAATGGGAGGGTGTTCAATGACCTCCCTGCATTGAAGAGGTGGTTGTAGGTGTTTGCAGTGATACGAAAGAGACCTTACAAGGTCTTGCATTCATATGCAGAGCGTCGTTACACAGTTGTGTGTGACAAAGAACGCTGTCCATGGAGGGTTTATGCAAGGAAGCAAACGGTCACCGGAAAGTGGAAGATCACAAAAGTTGTTGGGCCACACAATTGTGCTGACCATGAGCTGACACTGAGGCATCGGTAGTTGACATCTACCCTCATTGCCAAGCGGTTGATGAGAATATTGCAGGGAGAACCAAACATGAAGGTGAGGACAATTATCAGGACCGTTGAGGCGTTGTATGGAGGTTATGTGATAACTTATGGTAAAGCTTGGAGGGCTAAGCAGCGAGCGTGGAAGATGATATATGGGGACTGGGAGGATGGGTACGAGCAGCTGCCAGTACTTTTCAATGCGATCAAAGTGGTGAATCTAGGCATGCATTATGAGTACATCCCAAAATCAAATGCCTAAAAGGATGAGAGGCAGATATTCTTCCGTGCTTTCTGGTGCTTCCCTCAGTGTGTCGAGGCCTTTAGGCACTGTCGTCCCATCTTCTCCATTGATGGTACATTCTTGATTGGCAAATATTAGGGCAGACTTCTTATAGACATATCCTATGACGCGAACAACAAGTTGGTTCCTTTGGCATTTGCTTTGGTTGAGAAGGAGAACGATGACAGTTGGGGATGGTTCTTGAGGCTAGTCCGGATACACGTGGTTGGGCCTGACAGGGAGGTTGGCATCATATCTGATAGGCACCAGGGCATACTTAATGCCGTGTGAGAGCAGATAGAGGGGTATGCACCTTTGCACCATCGTTGGTGTACTCGGCACCTTGCCGAGAATCTACTCCGGAAGGGTGGTGTGAAGGGTAACTTTGATCTGTTCCAGGAGGCTGCTCGACAGCTTGAGGACAAGTACTTTCAGAAAAAAGTTGGAGCAGGTCAGAACTGCATCAAATGCAGAAGGTAGACAATGGCTCACAGGTTTGATGAGGGATTTGGAGAAATGGACAAGAGCTCACGACGCCAGTGGATGGAGGTACGAGTTTCAGTGCAGCAACATGGCGGAGTCATTCAATAAGTTGCTATTGGGGATACGTGGTATGCCCGTGAATGCAATTGTTCAATTTACCTTCTATAAGCTTGTTGCCTGGTTCAACAATAGACACGCCCATGCATTGAAGTTACGGAGTGATGGAGAGATATGGGCTCCGAAACCGAAGGCACACCTAGAGAAGGCAAATGAAAGGGCTGGCACACATGAGGTTACATGCTTTGATCATGCCACAGGAACTTATCAGGTCGAGCATAGGGGCGGTACAACGTCCGATGGCGAGGTCCGAGAGTCGAGGATGCATGTGGTTGTCCTCCAAGATTTCAAATGCATTTATGGTAAACCAAGGCAGTACCACTTTCTTTGTTCTCATTTGATGGCAGCAGCTAGGCATCGCAACTATAATATCGAGAGCAGGATACCTCACGAGTTCAGTGTCAACACGCTTGTGCACACATGGAGCCCCCGCTTCGTGCCTTTCTAGGACCCTGGAGAGTGGCCTCCATATGATGGGCCAAAGTACATTGCGGATCCAGCTTACCGTTGGATCAAGGAAGAGGACGAGGCACAGGATGGTTATGGATCAGATACCCGAAAGAACGAGGCATGGGAGAGGAACCCCATTTGTTACTGACCTCGAGCAGTACGAGTGCGGCAAGTGTGGTAGACTTGGCCACAATTCAT